GTTTTACCTAATTATATAACTCAAATTTAGTCTAATTATCCCATCATAAAAAATTTCAAAATAATGATAAGATGACTTACGCAAAATTATTATTTTCTAGATAGTAATTACGTTTTTTTTTTTGGTTTATTGGGAATATACAATTCATTAAAAAGCAAAACGTGGACGGAAGCAAAAAAAAAAGCTAAATATATAGAATGGAGAGACATAATAAGTATTATTAACTTAGGTTACCCATCGCCAACAACCCTCTCATCTCCTTTCCCAAACTATATTTCACGATTTTGGTCAAAACACACAATCTCAAAGTTCTTAACCCTATTGTTTAATGTATGTAAACCCTCCCAGCCCAAAAAGATTCGACCTTTGAAATTCCCCAAAAAAAAAACCCCTACTTATAGTGAAAGAAAAGTAACATAATCCTATATACACGAGACTCAAGAGCCAGCAACTTGAGAATATAAAGTTCACAGTTTTTGTCTGCTCACCAAATCAAACCAATTTCTCCTGAGACCCAAAGTTTTTTTTTTTTTCTTGTCACCCACAAGAAACTCATGCAACATTCTTCACCCACTAGCTAACTAACGGATTCCATTATTATTAATCTCTCTTGAATCCTCTGCTGATTCTTCATTTCTTAGATTCACTCTTTTCTCTTCTCTTTTGTCACAATAATGAGTTTCAATTCTTCTTACAACTTCACATTCAGTGACGTTTTCTTTTCTTCTTCTTCCTCCGGTGACCCTCTGGTTTCACGGAGGCTGTTTCTCTTGAGAGATGTTCAGGTTCTTGAGCTCCTTATTGCTCTTTTCGTCTTTGTTGTAATACATTCCTTGCGTCAGAAGAAATACCAAGGTCTTCCTGTGTGGCCGTTTCTCGGGATGCTTCCTTCTCTAGCTTTTGGTCTCAGAGGAAACATATACGAATGGTTATCAGATGTTCTCTGTCTTCAGAACGGAACTTTCCAATTCAGAGGTCCCTGGTTCAGCAGCCTCAACAGTACTATTACCTGCGACCCAAGAAACGTTGAGCATCTCCTCAAGAACCGTTTCTCTGTCTTCCCTAAAGGTTCTTACTTTCGAGACAACCTCCGAGACCTCTTAGGAGACGGTATATTCAACGCGGATGACGAGACTTGGCAAAGGCAAAGGAAAACAGCGAGCATCGAGTTTCATTCAGCCAAATTCAGACAGTTAACCACTCAATCTCTGTTTGAGCTTGTTCATGAGAGGCTCTTACCTGTTCTTGAGACTTCGGTTAAGAGTTTGTCTCCTATCGATCTGCAAGACGTCTTGTTAAGGCTAACGTTCGATAACGTATGTATGATTGCCTTTGGAGTCGATCCAGGATGTCTCGGTCCTGATCAACCTGTAATACCCTTTGCGAAAGCGTTTGAGGACGCGACTGAAGCTGCGGTTGCCAGATTCGTCATGCCTACTTGCGTGTGGAAGTTCATGAGGTATCTTAATTTAGGAACAGAGAAGAAGCTTAAGGAATCAATAAAGGGTGTGGATGACTTCGCTGATGAAGTTATCAGGACACGGAAGAAAGAACTGTCTCTTGAGGGTGAAACCACAAAGAGATCTGATCTCTTAACGGTGTTCATGGGTTTGAGAGATGAGAAGGGAGAGAGTTTTTCAGACAAGTTTCTTCGTGATATCTGTGTGAACTTCATACTTGCTGGGAGAGATACTTCTTCGGTGGCTCTAAGCTGGTTCTTCTGGTTGCTAGAGAAGAATCCAGAGGTGGAAGAGAAGATCATGTTGGAATTGTGTAAGATTATGAGGCAGAGAGATGACCATGGAAATGCAGCAGAGAAGATAGACTATGAACCTGTCTTTAGACCAGAAGAGATTAAGAAGATGGATTATCTACAAGCTGCTTTGTCTGAAGCTCTCAGATTATATCCTTCAGTTCCCGTTGATCACAAAGAGGTAATAATATTTAACTAAATGTGCTCTGTTTTTTATTATTTGTATTCCAAGAAACCTTTTCCCCCCAATTTAGAAGCAACTACTTGCTGATTATATATCATACTAGATCTTTTTAAGATTATCATAATTATAGGATAAACCCTTGGAAACAGCAAGTAGTTTTTTTCTCGTTAAAAGAGTATTTTTACAAAAAAATTATACGAACTAAAAAACACTTTTGAGGAGAATAAAAAAAAAACTTAAATAGTTAAATTCCCATTTTTTTTTTTCTATTATAGGTTACCTAATCAGTCACCAAAAATGAAAGTTCTTGGGAGAACACCTAACTAATACTTTTGACTTCTTGGTAGCACACAAGAATGTAATGTTTTGTTGTTTCCCAATGGAACCTGACGACGAACTCATTCATATTAAATTTTCTATGCTATTAAACCAATCACCTCGCGCGATGAGGGTTACTATAGTACTGTTGCTGAGATTTATTATTCAGGTTCAAGAAGACGACGTATTTCCTGATGGAACAATGTTGAAGAAGGGAGAAAAAGTTATATACGCGATTTACGCAATGGGTCGGATGGAAGCTATTTGGGGAAAAGACTGTCGTGAGTTTAGGCCAGAGAGGTGGCTAAGAGACGGACGGTTCATGAGTGAGTCAGCATATAAATTCACGGCCTTTAACGGTGGTCCACGCCTTTGTCTAGGCAAAGATTTTGCCTACTATCAGATGAAAGCCACGGCAGCCGCAATAGTTTACCGGTACAAGATGAAGGTGGTGAATGGTCACAAGGTGGAGCCGAAGTTGGCACTCACAATGTACATGAAACATGGTTTGATGGTGAATTTGATTAATAGGAGTATCTCCGAGATAGATCAATACTATGCCAAGTCTACTGATGATGGTTATATTAATTAGTTGTTTTGATGTTTGAGATTTCTTAATTGATTAAGGTTAATGATCATAAGAAGATTGTGTGGTTATTTTTGGTTTATTTGAATTTTCCCAACTTATATGTTTTTTATTTTCTTTTCAATTTGGTTATTAGATGATGATGTGAATATGTGTATGTGGAAATGGGAAGGAAGTTGAATGATTTATATGTAGACCCCTAATGGGTCATTGTTAGGAAATTAGTTGGGAGGGAGTTTGTAATATGAAAATAAATTTATTACATGAACATTTTATTTTATTTTCTATGCGTAGATCGGTACATATGTATATTGATTTGGTATGAATGATTATATTATAATCAATTTGGTAAACTGGCACTTTTGGAATTCAATCTGGAAAGTAACATTTCTTTTTTGAAATCCCAAAGAATAATTTGTCAAAACTCTTAAAATGATAGTAGTTTTAAGAAAGTGCATAATTACTAGTTATATTTCAGAACAAAATATACGTATATATAAGTTTATAACTATATAGTTTTTTTTTTGGTAAATCGGATACGTCGACGCATGCCATTGAAAGGTGAAAGTCCATACCAAATCAAATCCGTTTCCAAATAAGTTAAACAAAGTCACGTCGCAATAATGTTTTGCATGTGTCTCTATAATCTATGACCTCTGCCATTTTCAGAAAGGCCAAAGAGTTATGAACAGTAGAAAAGTTGTATTTCACTACATAAAACCTAAAATACTTTTGTTTTAATCTGCATGTTTCTCTGTCAAGATTCTTGAGATGATGAACTCTTCAGATTTTTCTGGCTCGCGCCTCTTGCTCTCACTGCATTTTTATGAGTAAAAATTTATGAACTCTCAAGACTTTTAACTTACGTACCTTTCATTTGTTGTTGTTTCGGATTTGGTGCAGTCTAGGTGTACTTTAATTTATTGATTCAGCTCTTCAGTAAATGTTACTGATTGATTAATGCTCTCCTCCCATTTCTCAAGAACTTTGTTTGTATATGGATTTAATCTACTTGAGTATGTTGTTGGCATAGAGATTTAGATAGTCAACCTATTGTGTGTTTAAGGTTTGAATTACAATGTTTTTGGAGTATCTTGTATTTACTCTTTTTCCCTAATGTTTTGATCATATCATATCCAAACTAGCTAGCTAGGCGTATCGTATCGACATTAACAACATATATGTTGGTGTTGCAAGAAGAAATGAAAATAAGGAGCATTGTATTATTTTTGATTATTGGTCAATGATGAGAATGAGAAGACAAAGACCATCGATATATACAGGTTACAACGTGAGGAGAACGAGAGTTATGAGAATAGATTCTCATATACAATATGTGATTGATTATGTCGTCGTTACAAATCAATTTTGTATTTTTCTTACTTAGTAATATTTTATAATGAATACTAACCATTTGAAAAGAAACAAGACTAACCATTTGGGTTGTTGGCCTTTTTCTTCTTTTCCAATACCTATATTTCCCCAAATACGGCCCAACTTAACATTATACCTATATACTACTAATACGACACATACAGGCTCGAGTCACATGTGCATTGTGCAGTTGAGTTTTTCTTCTAATTTATGAATTTATGAATGGATCGAGCCCCCTCTGAGTCTTTGAGGCTATAATAAATAAAACAGTTACTTACATATGTAAATATGTTTGTTATTCTAGTCTACTAATTGGTGATCGTCAAGAAGAGCTTCGGCAATTCAGCTACTATAGCAAACTTCAAGGTTACAAGTCCAAAAAGTGCATAGTACTGTTTCATTCGCTTTACATATATCTCATTTAATTAGTTAAGAATCCACTTTACTTAACTTGTTAAGCTCTTCGATCTCACGCAGTTTTCTCCGGTTACCTAAAACGAACCGGTTAAGGAGGTTAGGCCAACAACATGCGAAAAGATAAAATTAATATAACATAGGGGACTCAGCTTTTAATCTTAAACTTTGAACCCAACTATCTCAAAAGCATGAAAAATGTCCGAAAGGAATATGAAAAAGCACCATTATCATCATCATTACTTATATATATATATATAAAAAAGCTTTATATTCCTTTTGCTTTTCTCAATAATTTTCGAATTATAACATTTTTACAACTTTATTCTCTTACACGTATAATAATAATACACATACACAAACACATAAAAATCCTTCTCTCAATCTCTCCTCAAACTCACAAAAATGAAGGAGTTCGATTACAAGAAGCTCGTCATTGCCACGGATCAATTCTCTCCTTCGCAACTCATCGGTAAAGGAAGCCATGGCTACGTTTACAAAGCCCTTCTTCTTGATCATCACCAAGAAGATAAAGATTACGACAAACATCACAAAGTAGTCGTAGCCATCAAAACACCATCATCATTATTACCATCGTCTCCTTCATCATCATCATCCAAATCAGAACAAACGAAGAAACTAGAGAACGAGATCAATGTCATGTCGTCACTACCATGTAACCAACACGTCTTGAGGTTTCTTGGCCATGCCGACAAAAAGCTCATGGTCGTCGAGTACATGCCAAACGGATCATTACACCAGTTATTACACGTGTCAGCTGCTCCTATTCACACGTGGCTTAAACGCATCGACGTCGCTCTTCAGATCGCTCGAGCCGTTCACTTCCTCCACGAACGAGGTGTTATCCACCGTGACATCAAATCGGAAAACATTCTGTTCGGTTCGAACTGGGAAGCGAAGCTTGCCGACTTCGGACTCGCCGTCGATATGGCTGGTGAGAAGGCGAGACCGGCGCCGGCGGGAACTATCGGATACTTAGATCCGTGTTACACGTCACCGGAGAATCTTAGTACCAAGACTGACGTTTATAGTTACGGCGTCGTATTGCTGGAGATCGTTAGTTGTAGAAAAGCCATTGACGTCTCTCGTTCGCCGTCGTCGGTAGTGGACTGGGCGGTTCCGTTGATAAAAGAAGGGAGGATCGGAGAAGTCTGCGGCGGAGGCGGAGGAGGATCGGATGTTTTCAGGGGGATGAACCTTCGGTTGTTGAGGATGGCGGCGAGGTGTGTTTCATCGGACGTGGAATCGCGACCGTGTTTTAGGGAGATCACGGCGGAGATAGTGGCGTGTATGGCGGAACCGTTGAAGAGTTTGCCGTTGTGGGTGAGCGTTTTGCGTCGGGTTGTTCAACTGAAACGGCGGAAAAAACGGTTGAGAGAAACGATGACGTGGCCGGGTCAAACGTGCCGGGTCTGGTGATTAGTGATTACAAACCATCCAAGCAGAAGAAGAAGCCTTCTAAACATGAATTTTATAAATTTAGTAGCATTTTAAATTTGTTATCCCATTACAATGATATATTGTAAGATACTATATGTGTTTTTCCATAACGCTAGGATTTCCAAAAGGTGCATTTTTTTATTTTGATAATCAACTAAGGATTTTGTAGTCTTTGAACAAAACCCTTTGGAAAGTAACAACCAAATCTCTGAAAGAGAAACTTTCTTGGATTAGCTTATACTATTTACATTACATGGAGTGTTGTTAATCAAGAATTATAGTAGGAGATAATAAATTATCTCTTTTTTTTTTGGTATGAAGATAATAAATTGTCTTGATCAAAGAAAATTTCAACCATTGACTAATGATAATATTTGAAGAAAACAAAAGAGAAAGCAACAAAAGAATATTTGGCAACGACGTAGAAAGTTATAGAAAACGTGGAGACGACAATATATATATAACTCTATGAAGAAAGACTTTGGCTGGCCACCAACAAGATCCTCTTTATCTACTTACTACTTAGAACAACATTATAGCTAGTATGTTAATTAGGGTATCTTACATTAATTTATTATTAAATTTGAAAAAGTAGAATTTAAAAGTTTTAATTTTGTTTTTAGTTTTGAAAAGTGTTTATTGGTAGGATCTTAAGTTGGGTATCTTAGAAAAAAATTATTTTTTAAAAAAATTAAAAAAATTTATAATTTGTAATTTAAGAAAATATTATAATTATTGCAAATTTAGAATTTGAAAACATACAAAAGAGAGAAATTATAAGATAGAAATTATAACATAAAGTAGAGTAAATTTAAACTTGATTGCGAGAAAATTTAGAGTGCTCGACCAAATCGTTCTTCAATTATTCATGCTTATCTCGATCTCGAAGTCGAGTTCTAGCGGCCATCAGATTGATGAGATTTGAAGGCATATTTGTATCATACGAGAAACCCATTCGCGTACTTCCGGCAGTTTCCGCTTGTTGAAAATCAGTGACATCAAACTGAGTATACATATCTCGTTCATCTTCATCTAAGTAAAATTTGTTTCTCCCACTAAATATTTATCATCTTAGTCAATCAGACTTTATAAAAAAAAAAAAAAAAAAAAAAAAAATCAATCAGAGTCTGCCACGTAGGCGTCTCTTAACGCACCAATGGTATCTTCTCCAACATACTCCAACATAGGTATCTTAATATTTATTATGTTTTTTGATTAAAATTTAAATACTATTAATACTAAGAAACACATTAAATCCTGTTGATAATGTTGGTCTTAGTTTACTATTTTTGATTTAAATGATAATCCTCATTTTTGTAAATCTTTTTTTTATATGTATTTTTTCCTGTTGAATCTTCACCACTAAGTTTTTGATGTGGAATAATATTTAGTATGACGCTAGAGAAACGAAGAAAGTAATTACAAGTTGCATTATTATTTTTCCTCAATAGTCAATACTACTATCAATAAGAATGAAGATTTTTTTACTACAACTTTTTGTAAAACTTGAAATATAAATTACAACCTTTTGTCTTTAAAGAAAATTAGAAACTATAATAAGGCTTAAAAAGATAAACCGTAGAGACAAGATATAAGATCGGACATAATCTAAAACCATCAAATTTAGGACTTTATACAAATCGACCTTACGTAATAAAACAAAGGTTGATACAGACTATATAATACAATCTTGTCACAACTACTTCTATTTGTAGTCCACAAAGAGGTATCTTCATCGAAAGCGTGCGAACACTAACGCACAAGATATATTAAGTTAAGTTATTAACTACTAAAAAAATTGGGATCAATATCAACCGTTCCGAGTTATATATTTAATACTCCTAAAGTCTTAACATGTTTTCATTTCTCAAGTCCTTTTGAATTCAGCGTTCATGGGCAAACCGGAGAAGAAGAGAGCAAGTTCCTCTTACGTTCTTCGCTGTTTCGGGGTTTCCCGGAGAATTCAGACAGACAAACTAACTGCAGACCCCGGACAAGACAAGAAAAAGAAGACGAGAACTCGTTTTTGGTTTCCACGACCGACAAAGTTTCGTTTGAAGGAAGACGAGATCACACTGGCGCCAATATACGAGACGTCGGAGAAAAGAAACATGATTGTTAAAGATGATAAGCAAAATCTGTTTCGTGTGATACGTCATGGTACTGATCGGAAGAATGTTGCGACTAGTGGTTATAAAGACGTTCAACATGAGAGCAACGAGGTATTTATTTTTCTCAGTAGATTACAACAAATCTTACATATTTATAAGTGTTCGTAATTGTTCCCCATTTTGTTTTAAATTCTGTTTTATCCTAAATTTGTTTTTTTCAGAAAGACACGAATTTACAAAGAGATATAAACCCGGATCCGTTGAGTCCCTCAGGACACGACTTGTGTCACGAACGCGGGAAACTCGACCGGATTAAAACCGTTGGAGCAGGGTCGAAGCCGAAAGGATTAAGGGAGAAGTCGTCACGGGGCAGAAAAGGGTCACGGGTGGGTAAATTCGACCCGGTAATTGGTATATCAATCATAACGCTAACGTTAATGATAATGTTGACGTGGGGACGTTTGTGTGCTATCCTTTGTACATCCACTTGGTGTTATTTTCTACCTCGTCTTAAGGAGGCTACGACTGCGGCCAAATGCAAACGCAGTGGCAGTTGTAAAGCTGTACCAGGTGATTTGGATTTGAATTCTGACGCTTACAAGAAAAAGGTCGTTTTGGAAGGATTTCTTGTTCGGCAATACCGCGTCTAGCTGTAACGACTGTTTCAAGTTTTTTATAGGTTTACTCTCTTTGTTTATTTGTTGATTTTGTTTTATCGTATCATTCATTTATATATGGTAGATTTTGACCTTGCCTTGTGAAATGTATACCAAAATTCAACGTTGAACCTGTATAATATAATCCAAACTCGAAAGTCGAAACACATTTGCATTATCAACTTTGGGGTTTCAACTACCTACCCATCTATCTATTTTGAATAAGTTGACTCAAGAAGTTTAGTTTAGTATTAATTTACATTATTAATTAAATACATTTGGTGCAAGAAGAAGAAGCACATAATTTGCTTAATTTGGTGAAAGTTTTTTTTGTGATGATGTGATCACCTTACATGGCCAAAAATTTTAAATCACAATTTGGCGGTTCAACCAAGATGCCAAAATGGAATCCAATACCATTGGATCAGACAGAAAGTAACACATTTTTCAATAAATCTTATATGGTAAGACAGCATTTCTGCCGTAAGCAAACGATGATATATAAACATTCACAAAAACTATGTTTTCAGGGGCTAATTGATCTGACCTTAAGTTATGTTCTCTACCCACTTAAGAAGTTGACAGTGTAACTAACCTACAAACTTTAGAAACTGAATCGATAATGAAGATCTCAATCATCTAAAGCCTTGTTGGTTCCCGAATACCTGAAAACAGCCATGTAACAATTTAGGATTGCTTGTAGCCATTCCATGTGAGACAAAATCTCTAATCCATGTCCAATATATGTTTACAGAATAAGAGAAATGTTTCTTACGTCATGCTTTTGCAAAATCCAATCAGGACAGCCTTGTGTGTAATCCATCTTTCTTTTTTTTTGCACACGGTTGCTAGCACGGCGATTGCCAGCAATTCAGGTGGTTGAGCTCTGTACCAAAGGCCTGTTGCAAGACGCAAGTCACTTAACAGCTTTACAAAGACATTTTTCTCGTCATTGAAGTCCACACACAAAAGTACATTAAATTCTACCCCCAAAGGCATTTCTTTAACAACAAATCAGAAATAAAACGCGAGTTAATGAAGGACCAAGAAGCTAACCATTCATAGCAGTTTGATCTGGTAAAACGTACACACCAAAAGGGACAAAGTACACTTGACCATCAGCTGATGCAATTATGTAGTTTCTCTGGTGAATGCTCTTAACAAACAAATAATATTCATACAATTCCCTCAAGAAAACTGACTGTGTCAAGAACCAACATTCAATACAGCATCCCTTCCAATCACTTATACTTCTTTGTCCACATCAAACTGTCATGTTCTAAAGTACGACTATTACTGTTAATTATATAACATGTAATGTAAGTAAGTCTCTGACTCTCAATCTAGTACCTAATCTAACTAAATGGTATCCACTTTGAACGTACTTAGCAACAGAACAAGCAAGCCGGGAGCGCCGAAAGACCTTATACTTGGAGCATAACAAGCACTAAATCATAAAACTCAGACCATATAGCTGGAGAAAGTAAAGTCTTTCCTTTATCGAATAAAAAAAATACATACTATAACAAAAGCATGGAGAGTTGGCATAAATGTATTACTGGAGGATTGGCTACATTATCTAGTGGTTTAGATGCGTGCCAAATATCATCTGTGGCAATAAGGGATTAAAACCCAGAGATATTTGTCAAAGAACAAGCAAGATGTATTTAAAACTACAAATTCTTTTTTGAAAAAGGTCTACCCCACTTTGAAGATATATGTATGATGAAAACTTCCTAAAAAACGACTATAATGGCTATTGCCTGCAGCCTATTTAGCACATATAATCATTCAAATGTGCAACCCCCAAGCCATTTAAACAGGCATATTCATGCCAACTAAACATGACAGGCGAGTGCGGCAGCAGAAAACAGATCCTTAGAACAAGTTAAAAAGGGTGTTGTTATAAATACATTGACTTAAGATTAGCTGCTTGTCTCATGCCAAGCCATGAATAGCATAAGCTCACATTTAGGTCACTCAAACCCTTTCCCTAGTTCCACCACATTTGCAACTATATAAAGGTCAAAAGAATGGCTCTTTCTTTTCATCTTCTATCATTTCAAATATGTACTTGCAAAAAACAAAAAAACAAAATGGCTCTTCTGAGAAATCATATGGAACATACACTTCATCAAGTGCTCATTATAGTTATGAAGCCAAACCTTGTTATGTCACTAGCACACAAGTGGTGTGAGCGGATAGCAAATATTTTTCAGGCAAAGAAATAGCAACCATTACCTCACAAGTCTTCGATACTTCTTCAGAATGCACAAGACAGCAACTGTAAAATGAACGGGAGTCACAGTTGTAAAGAAATTAATGCTTCTTGTTCCTGCTAAAAAATACAAGGCAGCGAGGCATGGCTTATCTCCAGAAGAGAGAGACATGAGAAAAAAAAATAACGAAATTGAGCAAGTGGTTATACCGAGGCCTAGAATAGGACCTACCATGTATATAAACCTAAGTTACTCATTCAAACAACAAGACACGAGTAAGCGGTCTCTAGTCTAGACTATATATTCTTGCCACCTAAGTCTGCCTAACTAGTAACATACACTCGTAACAGCGTACTCTTTAAATTTCTCAGAGACCGGCAAAGATTATAGAGCTTAGAAAATGGATTAAACGAACTGTCTTTGACTATAAAGTTCAAATTTCATTTAACCAGGAAAAGATTTTGAGCACATTGTGATTGGCATAATTACATGATCTGCAGAACAGAAGTACTAAACAATTAAAAAACAAGAACCTATACTGTGAAGAATGTGATCCACAGATACAATTGTCAGGAAAAAAATACAATATACAGAATCCTGGCAAAAGTCTGCAGAAGTTTTTGATGCCTCTGGAAGTGGATATATCCGAAAAAGTACTCCACGGAAGAGAAAGTAGTATAACTGTAACTGTTTGATGACAACACTGAATAAAAGACTTACTTAAGTATTTAGAAAATCAAACCTAGAGGATTAACCTTGTTAATGAGACACTAGCAGCTTCGTTTCCATTGATACTAACAGCAGGAGCAGGCCAAAAAATTCTACCTTCACTTCAAGCTGGCCTCCAACAATTCGCAGTAGGCATGTCTGGCCGAGATGGTAGCATTTGGGAAGCAGCATGACCTTAAATGGGTAATTTAAAATGGTAAGGCAAGGAAAAAGGTTTCTGACGGTGTCTTGAGAGTTTACAAATAGATGCAATAACTGAGAAGTCTGAGATAGTCTCACCTGGCATTGCAGGGGGAGCTTGTAAGTTACTAGTAGCAGAAGGCTGATAGCTCATTGTCACTGAAGGTGGACGTTCTGGAGCTGGCCGGAAGAAATCTGAGGAATTGCAAACAAGACCATCAATTGCAAGGAAGCAAACCATACACAAATAGACAAGCTGGAAAACAGTAATCAACATATGCATCATAGTTCTCACAAGCAATCATGTAAGTTAACCTTTACAGCTAAAGGATATATAAGGATTCAAGCGTCTACATACTGTCTGTAACTCTAGGAAGGCCTGGATGTGAATTTCTTCCATGTCTCCAGGCACCACTCTGACTTTCTGCATGATGTCCACTTGAAGGCATCCGCCATGGTTCCTCATTTCTGTATCGCCGTCCATCATCATGTTGAGGTGGGAACGAGTATGGATGAGTGTAGGAATGCTGGGGTTGTGATTGAACATGGCTTGGATACGAAAAATGACTGGACGGTGCTGAAGGCAGCCTAACCATAGGTCTTTGGGACAGAGGGTTGCTTGGCTGAAACCGTTGATTCTGTGAGGAAACTTCAGGATTAAAAAGTACATCGCTGCTCCCAAATTCTAGTTGCCTGGAGGTAGTAAATGATGAGGGTTCTCTGGAACTGCACACTCCTGCTGGTGAAAAACTAGATGACTGCTGCACAAAAAAGTCGGTTTGTCCAGCCCCCTCAACATGACTTACACGTGAAGAACTTCCTGGCCCTTGGACAATTTGATCACCCTGCACATGATGCCCAGGAGTTGAAACATGAATGATAAATGATGCAAATATATTAAGGAATCATGCGTAACATCAAACAGTATAAATCAAAGAACTTACAGTGAAAATGCTACAGCGGTCTTGCTGCATAGATCCTCGGTATGTTTGATGTGATAATGGATATGATGGGGGAGGAAATCCTGGTTGGAGTGGTAATTGATGATGGCTACCTAAGGATGGTTGAGTTGTTATTGATGGTGGTAAAGCTATAGATTGTGAAGGCGGTGGAAGTGGAGGCGGAGGCGGAGGTGAAGGTGGAGGTGAAAAGGGCGGTGGTGGAGGCTGAGACGGAGGTGGGGGAAGAGGAGGAAACTGCGCTGCAGGAGGTGGTGGCGGCAGTAATGGAGGTGGAGATGCAGGCGGAAGAGGCGGTGATGGAGGTGGGGGAGAAGGTGGTAGAGGAGGGGGAGATGGAGGTGATTCATGAGGTAACGGAGCAAGATCCTCTGGAAGAGGAGGTACCTCAGTGGATTTCTCTGCAACTGGTTCCATAACATCCAGTGACTGCTCCTTTGTCTCATTCTCACAAAAAGAGGAAGGTGCTACATCTTTCCACTGACCAGATACATCTTCCATTTCAAGTTCACGATCTACATCCTCCAAAACTCGATGGCATTTATCACTCAAAGTATCATGTACTTCCAAGTAGTCTAAAGCATTGAAACGTTCCACAGCCGATGTGCTTTTTGCTTTTTGTTCTGTTGGAAGATCGTCATCTTCTTCATCATCTTCAAAATTATGAGAAGAAAAAAATCCAGGTAGATGAAACGTTGCATTGCTGCAGAAAAAATGGCACAAAAGTTTATTAACAGTCTACAAAATAGCACCAAACGCATCTCTAAGAACTCTACAGTGATATAAATTTCCTGACTATCCTTGATATCTTGTCATCAGCAATATATAAAAAATACGGAGAATACACTACTAAGCAAGACAGTCGTTTAGCATACCTGCCATACTCATCAACAAGCATCCCTTCCATTTCCCTGAGAGGATCATCTACAGCACGCTCAGATCTAGAAGGACGTCGTAGGGAAAACCCAACCGTTGCATCATCACCAGAAGCTCTAATATCATCAATATAACGACGCAGAAGCGATTCGGGGAAAACCTTCCTTTCAAGCCACAACTTCAGAACCTAAAAAAGCGAAGAGGTCACTGACTCCGTCACTCCAACCTAAAAAAAAGTAAGGATAATCTAGAAACGATAAAATAGTAAAAGTACCTTCAGACATTTACGACGATTATCACTAGCACCAGTCCCTGGAGGAGCAGCGGCACGTAAAAGACGTGGCAAAGCAGCTTGCACAGTAGGAACGTAAGACGCACCAGCAATACCTGGAAATAGATTTCACAAGCATCAGAATAGTTTAGGTGTTCTATTTGAAAGCAGTTAAAAACAATAAACAACAAAATCTAAATACCACTAGCATTTCAGGGAAGTAATACTTTGATAACAGGTATAGCATCCATTTAAGAGAAACCCTCACCTTTTTGGTTGTGCGAATGCTGGGTGATAGAGTCAACGAGAAAGAACAAGTCCACTTTACGATGAAAGTGAGATTCACTTTCCAACTTTCGTATGAGAAGTTCCACCACCTTGATAAAAACACAAACAAACTTCCCAATTAAAGCAACTATTATATGAGCATTACACACCAAATGCTATAAATAATTTTGTGAAAGCAATTTACGTAGCAAGCGAAACATCCAATAAATTAAGCCAGAATAAGTGCAAATCTAAATTGATTTGATGTGCGCAGCCTGACATTAAGTTTGTTGACAGCCTTAAGACAAAATATAATGAAAATCAACCAACCATCTTACCTCACTAGCAAGCCCATATTTGGCACAATCAATTGCTAGGCGAGTTGCACGTCCAATACTTTCCCTAGTTCTTGATAAGGTCTCTATCATGCCTTCAAAAGCATCCCGAGAAACAGCAGCCTCAGTGCCACCACTAAGTGAACCTCCAACTGACTTATGTCCTGAACTATGTCTTCTCTCTTCATTATCATCAGTCTCAATCTGATTTTTTGACGAGGACTTCTGCCCATGATTTGACGGAGAAGAATCTTGTTGATGTCCTTGAACAACAAACGGCATTGCGATGGCAGCAGAAGCGGAAACATTCTGATCCAATGGGCTATGGCTCCTCATCTGTGTATCACTGATGCCTAAGAAACTAGGGTTCAAATTCCCAAACATTGAATTTTGTGAATGTGCCTGTTTTCTTTTTGCCTGTGCAGCTGCAATTAAATCCTTCATAGATGCAGCCGAATCTGGGGTCTTTGCACTGGTAAATGGAGCATTCCACTTTTCTTGATTAAAATCAAGCCTTCAAAAAAAAACAAAAAACAAATTATAAGCAACAGCCCGAATTAATATAAAACGATGACAGATAGAATGTGACATACATGCCACCAGACAAGTCCTCAGACATGTCTCTTGAAACACCAGCATCATTCAAACGTACTGTAGCTTTTGAAACCACTGTTCCCCTCTCTCCAACTGAAGCTGATTTGTGTCTCTGATTTGCTGGCTGAGACTGAGAAGAGCTTACTTTATCAGATCCTGTAACTGCCTCCTTAAAAGATTCTCTTTGAGGCTTCTTTGCCATCACAACAGCAGAAACCTTCACAGATGAGTTTGCAACTTTTTGTTGTCCTGCAATGTGCTTGTTAGTTAAAACCAGCTGAGGGGACATCTTCGGAGATAGCAATTTCTGCTTGACATCCTTCGGCTGCAACTCACTGATGGGTTTTACCACGGGTAAGCTGTTAGTAGAATTCTCCGCATGGCCTGGTAATATACGTGGTGCATCCTCACAATGTTTACGCAGAGGGAATTTCCTTAGTTCAGTACTCTCTGTAGATCCAGCAGATATCTTAGCTTTAGTAGAAGTACCATGACAGACATTAGCACTTTTATGACTTTCAGTCAAGACTGATGATGTTTTTGGAACAATAGCTGGTCTTCCATGTAACGGGGTTTTTGGATCTTCATCATCGTCTTCATCATAGATACAAACAGCCCTCCGTTTTTTCAGCGACTGGGCAGCTGGAGCCTTAACATTACTAACAGGGGAGGAACGGTCTTTCTGTTCCAGATGACCTTTCCCAGATTTATCACGAGAGCCAGATAAAGGAGAGGTAGCCTTCTCCATTGTTTGTCTCTGGCGCTTTGTATATGCAACTACTTCTTTATCAAATTGTAAATTACTACCGCTAGCACTTAATCCTAAAACAAGTTCACGCTTGATATCTGATACAATCCCGATAGAATCAGATTCATCATCAATTTCACACTTTACTTTATCATTCGCACTTTCACCTCGCGGCTTTTTAGCAGCACGTGAGGTTTCATCTACTCTTAGTGCAGGCTTTCCTAGTTCAGTTTCAAGCCTTCTTTTCTTTCCAGAAACCCCACCCTTGAAGCCAGGTGAATTTTCATTCTTGCCAGCAGACACTTTGGAGCTAGATTTCTCTGTCAACAGACCTTTGAACTTTTTGGAATCAGAGTTACCACTGGCAGCTCGACCACCAGGTACATGTGAGTTATTGCTTTTGTCCCTGTGAACTGTATCTTCATCTTTTCTATCAGAGCCATCTGCTACCTTCTTAATTTTCCTACCATTGGCCAGCTTCTTTTGGCCATTACCAAATTGTTCAACGCAAGCATTAGTGTCAGTTCCTTTATCAAAATCTTCGTCCTTTATTTTAGGGTCATCCGAACCATGCTGCGGTGACTCGCTACCAGAGGATGTGGTTGTGATCTTTGATTCCAGAAATGACGATGAATCACGCTTCCCTTTCTCAGCCTTTGTGTCTTTACCATTATTCTTATCTACTTTGGGGAGGCAAGGATCCACCCTAGTATCAACGTTATCAGTTCCATCAGACTCTGTGTATATATGATCTGTTCGATCCACTTTCTCAGCTTTTCTCAAACTAGGCTCAGCAGCATCCAGAGGATCCTCATTGCCCAAAATATTTGACTTGTGATTCTGCAACGCTTCAAAAGCAGTGCAGATATCCTGTACAGCTTGTGCAAAGTACTTGACTGTTTTACCTTGACATCTTGCTAACAGTTTGCTCTTTGCCTCACTAGTAAAGGCTTGAATATCAGGCGGCGCAACAAAAGCTCTGCGGTGAAGGAAGATAACTGTCAGTATAGATTTAAAAAATAAACTCCAAAGATGAGTCAGCCGGGGGAAAAAACGCAATCAAAACACCTGATAATTGAGACTTACTGCCTAATTTCAGCAACATAAATATATATGGACTAAAGTTAATATACCTTTCTGGATATGATAAGGTACCAGAATATAAGAATACCACGTCTCAACTAACTGAAAATCAATATACATATAAGAGACTAGCTTACATTTCCTCTGTTCCAAAGAACTGAACAAAGTACTTCTTTGGGTCTGGCGCACGATTCCAATCTTCAGCCCGGCTGATCTGAAAGCAAAACCAAATCACTTCAAAAAAGTGACTAACTAAAGAGATTTTGACGCTCATTATTAATCGAGATATAATAGTATACAATTCAACCGGGGAATCTGACCTAATTACTAGAGAGACAGACGCTTTAACTGACTTATCCGGCTCAGTCTCAAGAACTAATAAATCAGGTAAATCTTAAACTAGCCTAATCATGAAGCCTATAGTAAGACTCTCACCAAAAGAAAGGAGAAACACTACGAAAATTCAACTATACACAACTGACTACGCAGTAAAATAACCACAAAGTTAATGTGTCCTATCATCAGATTCTAGAACTCCTAACGATTAAAAACAGAAGACCCAACAAAACTTAAAAAATAAAATAAAGATGATGACAAGGGACTAATTAAGGACTATATGAGAAACAATTAGAGAAGAAACCAAAACCCAATAAAGGAATTAGAAGGCACCTTAGCAGGCCAAGCAGGGAAGCCTTTGACTTTGGCGAGAACCAGATCACCGAGAATCAACTGCCCCTTGGCCTTGGTCTTGCTCGCTCCTCTTTTACGCCCAGGAGCCATAGGCGAGACCTCTATAAACCCTAATTTTGAACGCGAAACAGGACCACCGAACAGAATTGTGGAACCCAATCCAACCCAGATACCCAATTAGAATCTCCGATTGCTATCTGAAGATAATTCCACCGGAAGAAGCTCGCTGATTGAGGTGGCAGCGGAGACGGCTACGGATCACGAACACGAGGTAACAGAGACGTAGCGAGAGAGAGATAGAGCGAGAGCGATCCAAAGAAAGAGAATTTGATTGAGGCGGTCGCGAGAGGGAGAGGGACACGATGGGGTTAGGGCTGATAGGTGAAAACTTGCGAACAAGTTTTTGTGAGAGAACTTGGTTGTTTACTGTTGTCGGCGTTTTTTTCCTTTTTTCCTTTTTCTTAATTAAACAAAGCGGAGATCGAAATCGAACAAAAAGTTTTCCTTTTTTCTCTAATTTTTTTTTTTTGTTTATTTTCTAATTACACTAATCCTAAGTCCTAACCAAATATATTAAGACATTTGTCATATAAGTATATTTCTTCTTTTTGATTTATCAACACTTTCTTTCACGTTTTCCATTTAAAAAACAAATCAAACAATAGATGTTAATCACCCCCATTTTTCCCTAATAGAGAATGAGAAACCATCAAAACCACACAAAAGCTTGCTTTAGAGTGTTACCACAAGCATCTGATAAGTTGCAATTCAGAATACATCAGGTGAGAATATGAGGACAGCATATAAAACCGATCAATGTAAGCAAAAACAAGAATATCAATTAAGAGCATAAAGAACAGCAAACCACAGCATCTAACCATAAGCAAATCAACTAGGACCGGAATCTCTGAAACTAGACAACAATCTCATCATTCTAGACTTTCTAGTTAGTTTATAAGATAGTGCATAAATCCAAGATTTTTAATGCATCAAACTGCACATGGAATTAAGACCCAAAGCCACTCTTTAATGCAAAATTCATTTGACTGAATCAGATATTAGACTAGGTAAACATGCAAGTAAAAGAGTTCTGAAATATAGTCATGATCGATATATGAAAGAATAAAAACAGTTTGAGAGATCATGCCCTCAGACCATAATTTCATCCATAGAAAAAGGAAATCTAAAGTAGCAGCAAAGAAAAAACTGGTAGAGGAGAAGAAGAAAATTTATTACTTTGATTACCAGTTACTTCCTAACTTGAACTCTTATCTTTGCTTTCATTTCCAACTGCATCTTTCACCAACTCCAACGGTCTTTCATCAATAACTTCATCGATTATTCCAAACGCCTTAGCCTCTTCAGGAGTCATGAAATGATCCCTATCCATGTTATTTGCAACCACGTCAAGAGGTTGACCCGTGTGTTTGACATACAGTTCATTTAAAGCATCCCACACACGAACAATCTGTTTTGTATGAATCGTTATATCCTTAGCCTGTCCACTATATCCTCCTGAAGGCTGATGAATCATAACAGTTGCATTTGGAAGCGACCGCCTTTGCCCCTTGGCACCTGCTGCCAAGAGGAGAGAAGCCATTGATGCAGCTTGGCCTAAACAAATTGTGCTAATAGGAGAACGAATGTACTGCATAGTATCATAAATAGCAAGACCTGTACCAAAGATAGATAAAAAAAATGGGTCACAGACTCACAAGACACATTAGAATCAATGGTAAAAGATGGATCACAAGACACACAAGAAATAAAATCTGAAATTGGAAAAAAAAAGTGTTAACTCGTAACAAACAAGACACTCATACATTTCAGCAGCCTCGTGGAAATGATCAAGTGACTAACCCTAGATAAATACCTAAATCCACTTAGGAACAAGTATCAACGAACAATATTGAAAATTTCTACTATACTAAGCAAGAGAATATTAGCAAAGCCATGGCATCTACCAATCTGATTCCCAATCACAATACTCAGAATTTTGACGAATCGAAACACTATAAAAGTTAGGAAATGGAAGCTGAAGCGTACCGGCGGTGACATGGCCGCCTGGCGAATTGAGATACATGTGGATCGGCTTGGAAGGATTCTCAGACTCGAGGTAGAGAAGCTGAGCGACGACGACGTGAGACGTATCGTCATTAATGGGACCGTTGATGCAGATTATACGCTCCTTGAGCAATCGAGAGAAGATGTCGTAAGCTCTCTCTCCTCGCGATGAGTGCTCAATGACCATCGGAATCAGACTGTAGCTTCTTCTAGCAGTGGCGATGCTTGTCGCCATGGACGATGGAGTTGATAGCCTCCTGGCGCCGGAAACAAGACCCTTCATCATCGGAACTCCAAGGGTTGTTCTGGGAAGAGTGAAATTGCTCGAGAAAATGAAACTCTCGTCTCGAGCTTAGGGATTTCAGATTTATTAGTACTCCTTTGTTTTTTTTTTTTCTTTCTTTTTTCTCGATTTGTTTTTTTTTTTTTGTTTATTGGAAAATTCGTTAACAGCAATTATATTCAGCTGTTACATTTACATAGCCATTACTAACATAAACCAGTTATAATTGTAAAAATTAAAAGTGCTTAATACACTTTATCCCATTTTCTTAGTATTTTATGATCATTCCTCAAAACCAAACAGCTAATGTTTTTGTAATCAAATAAATAGTTTGAATATTCTGGTATTCCATTATTCACCTAACATACAAATCAAAATGTTAATAATCTCTTGGATTCCAACAAAAATTATTGCCTAATTTGACTCTCACCTTCACTGCCTAATGACATTATTGTTTATATAATAAATAATAAATGAAATGCAATAATACACTTTTTACTTCTATTTACTTCCGAATCTAATAGCTATCGACTTGCACAATCCAAGAGTGGACAGTCAATAACAATGAGACGGACGAACCTAACTAACCTTAGTCAACAGCCTTTTTGTTCCTCCTACCAGTTAAAGGCTTAGGCAATCCATCAAAAATAGAACTCGCCATGGCTGCTTGTGTCAGTATATCAGGTTTCAGGGTCCATTTCGAGGTTGGCCATAACGATGAACCGTTGCTGTTACAGCCTGGTTCTTGCAGACTAGAGGCGCTAAACGATTTCCTCACGCTCGAGAAGCTGTCTCCCGCAGGAGCATCCATTAAATTGATTGGTATGGGATTGACATTACCGGTCTCAGTATCTGCTGATAAGTTAGCTCTGCTCGATGCTTTGGATCTCAGTGCTAAACCTTTGCCAGCTATTGCAGAAAACCCGCCACTACAGTTTCTGTTATCCTCTTTCAAAAGCAGTTCTGGAGCTCGTGAATTAAAATCGGCTTCAGATTTTTGGCGCCTTCTCATTGGTTTATCAGAATTCACTTCTCCTCTTCCTCCACCTGCCTTTAAATGGTTGGGTGATTGGTTGACCTCAGCGATAACTGCATCTACCAAGCTTCTTGATTTTCTGTGGTGACTTAAGGGGGTATTGGTGGCTGGGAAGGGAGTGAGGTACTGATCCTCGTCTTGGGGATGAGAAGACTCTTTCTTGTACACTGCCATCTCAAAACCTTCAGAAGCTCTTCTGTTTTTTGGTTTCAATCCATAATAACCTTGCAAGGAGTTCATGGCTGGAGAAACCTTCTTTTCTGAAGGCTTCAATCTCAAAGACAAGAAGGAGTCAAATACATCTTGGTGGTTGCCATTGCTTGCTGGTGGTGAAGCTTGCTCGGAACACCCCTCTCTGCAAGAAGATTTCACATATCAGTCATGGGGATATGTTACTCTGATACGATGCCCTTTAACATAAATCAGTAGACTATGAATGATGATGATGATGATGATTTAGAGCTCTACTTAATTGACTCAATTCCCAGCACTTTTACTCATTCTCTTACTTTGTCTCAACTCAAGGACGTAGGTTGTAAGGAACCAATCAAGAAAAAATAAACTTAGAATTCATAGCCCACACTTCAAAAACTCTACCCGCAGATAGAAACTTTACATTTTTCCGGTGGTAAACTTTGGTTATGTGGTGTCATGACGAAAACAGAGTTTGAAACGTCAAAACTGTTCTTTTACAAGGACAAGCTTTGCCCATCTTGATATGATATCATCGCTCCATAAGCATTATCCACAGTACAAACAACTCTCACTAATGTTTATTTGAATGAACTTTGGAAATACACATCAGCACAACTTACAGATTATCTAATATCAACCACTCAAGTTCAGCTTCTATGGTTAACAGCAATAAAATACATAACATAGATTGAAATCTAAGTCAGAGAATACATCCTTCTAATTAGCAAACAACAGTATAAGAAGAGAGGATCAAAGAGGCTAAAAGTACCCATGATTAACAGAGCCGTTAGATAAGCATGGAGAAGGAGGATGTCTCCCAGGTAAAGGTATCTTGAGAGTCTTGAGAGCAAACATCTGAAGATCAGTAACAAGCCCATTCAGCTTCGTAATATCTGCAACCTGAATCAGCACTTATTTAGAACACAATCAAACAAAAACGCAAAAAAAAAAAAAAAGACTACAAAAAAACTGGGGATAGTGAGTGTCCAGCCAAAAAAAAAAGATTTATACCTCAACGCCATATTTAATGGCAACGCCAGCGAGAGTATCGAGCTTGGAGACATGGTGTTCGATATAACCAGCGCCGGTAGAAGCTGAAGAAGAAGGTGGAGACGAGGTCGGTGAGGAAATACGCAGGATTTTCGAAACAGAAGATGATGACTTCGAAGGACTCCTTTCACGGCAACCTTGAGAGAGATCTACGAATCCGTAACCATTATCACCACGGAATTTTCTATTGCCAAATTCAAAACTGCCATTGCAAATAGAAATCCGCCTCCCTCGATCCGTAAGCATTGCTCTATAGAATTTAATTACTTAACCTATTCTGAATAAATTAGATCTGATCAAAAATTCTCGGAAGAGGAAGAGGAGGAGAAAAATAATGCGAAAACGAGAAACGAGGAAGTGACGACGATGAGAGATTGAAGAAGAAGAAGAAGAAGAAGAAGAAGAGAGGGTGAAAACTCTCGTGGATTGAGTGAAAGGAACGAATTTTCGATGTAACTTTCTCTCAAAACCGGATTTTCCGGGGAAAAAAACGAACGAGAGAGATCTCTTCTTCCTCTCGTTTCCACCGGAACGACGCTAAATTATATATACATTTTTTTTTTTTTGAAAAGACGAAGAACTTAATTTTTAATTATTATAACAAAAACATTATTCGAAACGAAAACCGCGTTACAGCTATCAATAACCAGATGTAAAAAGGGGAAAAAATCAAACAATCGAACTGTGAAACTTACATTAAATAATAAATTCATACAAAACAAAATTTGAAAACATATATACTACCATTTATTAATTTATGTTTTTCTTGTGACTTATGATATTAATAAATTTCTATCAAATATTGACAAGATTCTCACATCATAAATACAGTATTTATTTATTGTCATCTTAATTCTTCGTTGCCTAAAATTTGTCTTTACTAAATAGTGAATACTACTCCATATCCATATCCAAATCCAACTACCAGACAAATTTGTTTTTTTTTCAGAAGATTTAATATATTTTATATGAAGGGGAAATGTATACAATAGTGTATTGTAGTATCAAAACGCAGTTAAAAGGCTTTACAGAGAAGATTGAAACAAAATCATTTCAATTATTAACCTTTCTTATTTGGCATTTCTCTCATCCAACATATCGGAGTAAGACTCCATCGTTGCCAAGCACAAACCCTTTCTTGTCATCCACAAATCTGCCAAGATAAACGAATTTGTCTTTGTTTGTTTCTGCTAATAAGAATGATGTTATTTAAAAGACTCTGGTTTTTGATGTTTGATTAGTTAGACTTACTTGACCGCGTAAAGGTTAGCTGCGATGTTATCAGCTGCTTTGTCTCGGTTCCATGACTTGCCTCCATTTCTTGTTCTCAGTAGAATTCCACTGCCTCCTGCTGCCCATGCTTCTTCCTGCAATACCCAGCAACAGATGATGTAATGATCCTAGAGTTGAATTTTTAAAGACTTGAGTGATAATCGCATAGACTCATGTACCTCTGAGCGATACCCAACATCTAGAATACCAAAGCCTCGGCTCTGTACTGGAACTTCGTCAAACTCCTCTGATATCTGAGCAATTAAAACAGTGGAGATCAAAGTCAGTGGTAGATTGGACCATTTATAGAGAATTCAAATCACAAGGAAACAGTGTTTTATTTTCCTTGTTTTCTTGGTTCATGGCTGTGTTTTGTTTCATTCTCTAAGTGGCATAAAACCCAGAAACTCGCAAGTAAATCTCAAAATGAGCTTTTTCAGGTATGAGAAGAAAAGGAAATGTCCAGGGAACAAAACTGTAAGATATGAGAAAAGTCTTGTTGCAGTACTTACCCCAGTGCCTTTGCTAAGATAAAGTCCTCCACCTCGAACAAGAAGCCAAAGACCGCCATCAGCTCTCCATCCCATGTTTTGAATTCTTCTGGCAACAGCTCTATTGTGTGGTTGCCAGTAAGGCTGCAATGTACCAATACTATGGTGAATGACAGTTTTACGAGCAACCAAACCACACACAAGAACAAAAGGAGGGATTGGTTATCACTTGTAAGCCACATAATATAGTTTACTTACACACAGTACTTGACTCTTAGATCATAATTTGCAGACATGAATTATTATACTCTTCTTTAAATTTATTCCGTTGGTGTGATATAATCAAATGAATATTAGCCATAAGAGCGAGCCTACGCAAGTGCTACTATTTCACCTAGTAACGGAATAAAAAAGGACTCAATGTTCAACAGCAAACCAAATGATAAATGCTGCATAGCCTTAATAAAGCCTCACCTGCCCAGGCTCCCATGTTAGAAAGAAGTTACCACGGCTCGAAACAGCAACATATCTTCCATCTGGTGAACGATTAACAGCACTGAAAGTTCCCGTGTAGTAACTAGCACCACTGATTCCACTAGATACTGTTCTGAAAGACCATGGGAAATACTAAGTTAGAGTCTATTCTGAAAATGTAGTGACATTGGACGCAAAACACAATGTCAACTCCCCAATATAAACAAAAGGGAAGGTAATGAACCTGTTCAAGGTAGCTGAAACAGTTTCCTGAATAGCAGCTTTCCAGTTGTATCCCTTGTTCGAAGTAACATAAATAGCACCTTCATCAGTAACCATCTCTGCGCTCTTATCGTCTGTCGCCTTTATGAACACCTACAACAACATTATACCCAAAAAAAAGGCTTAACACATTCTCATAAAAAAACAGCAGAAAATACAAAACTATAATCTCTACATAACAAGCTATAGTACCATATCTCCAGGAAGCTGAGAACTTAGAGGAATCCTATCCCAATTCTCTCCAGCATCAGCAGTGTACAACAAGATAGCAGGCTTGCCTATAATCCATCCTTCTTTACCTTTAAAGCTAATCGAATTGAATCTGTAATTGAAATCTTCCTCTTCAGCTGAAGGTATCGAGCGTGGATTCCAAGTGTTTCCACCGTCTTTAGTCTCTAACAAAGTCTGCCTCGTTCCCAATAAAAACCCTAATCGACATTTCTAGCACGAGTCAGTACTTCTGAAATTGACAATGGAAGATTGAAAAACAAAGGAAGTTACCGCGGCTAGGTTCGTCGGGGACGAAAGCAATGTCGAGAAGAACAACGCCGGGATCGATTGGGAGAAACACCCTTTCCCATTCGGATAATTGTTCATCAGCTTTAGCTTCTTTTACTGGTCCGACAATGGAAGAAAGGGAGAGTGATACTGCCGCAGATTGGTACAAAAGCTCCCGCCGGCTGAAAGACAAGGATAAGGAAGAAGAAGACGGCGACGATGATGACGATGATGATGGAGGAGGAGAAGCGGAGGCCTTAGTGATAAGACGATGATGAGAGATACGATGAGAGTGGAGCCGAGGAGAAACAGAGGGTTTGAAGAAGAGATAGCCGTCGCAGAGTTGCAGAGACGCCATTGATGATGTGTGTATGTTCGATCTCTCTCTCACTCTCTCTCCCGCCTCTGCAAACACATATCCTTTTCTTTATCTGAGTGGTGGTTATTAAACGTCTACGTGTCACAGTATGATTCGTGTTTTAGTCTTACCTTAGTTCTGATATATTTGAAAACAGAACAAGTTTTTTGACTGTTAATTAACATTTTATTCGTCGATTTGGGATCGAATTTGGCAAAAAATTCAAATCATGAAATACGTAGATGACCTATAAAATTCATCACAAAGATAATAGCCAAACAATACGTTCATGTCAAATATGAGCTTCAAAGAATGTTTTCTTTACTTCAAAAATTAAATGGAATAGATATGTACATATATACAAAGCTGTCAATGAATTAGAGGTAACTGTTGCATAGAGGACAAAACCTTTGGTAATTAATATTTGGTGTTAAGTTACGGTCGATAGATTCGGATGGTTCTATTGACTTGAAGGCGACAAAAGGGACATCTAGAGACTGAAGATGAACAATTCCGACATAGGACATGTCCGCATGGTACAATAGTAATCTCCACCTCCTGCATCTGACATATCTGACACATCCATTGTGATTTCGCCGTCTCTGCTTCCTTCATGGAAGCCTCTGCTCTTTCCTGTTACAAAACCAGAATATTTGTTAATCCATCATTATGATCGTAGTTTGTGTTTTCAAGTATGGAGGATTTGATTTGTAATCGAACCTGCTCAAGTAAGCATGCAACTTTAGATTCCTTGAGTTCTTCTTGTAGAGTTATGGTTCTTAGTAGTAGAGATCGATTCTCCAGTTCCATGTTGATTCCAGCTGCAGAGAGCATCTCGTGCACTGCCTCAACCAATTCTTTAGCTGTGACTCGACCATACTGCGTTTCATTCACAGGCTGCAGGTGACAAAAAAAACAAATCCAATCAACCTTCCGCAGTACACGATTCAAGATCAAAACTATCACAAGATGATAAATATTTTCGGGGAAAACTCAGTATGCATTTGTCTCTTAAAAATCATATTGATAAAGGATAATCCAAATATGGAGCATAAATGATTAAATCCTACGTTTCACAAGATATTATAACAAACCTGGCTAGAACTTGTTTTCTTAGTTCTGGAACTTTCTGAAATTTCTTGAGATTCGTTATCAGATACTGCAGGGATCCCCTCGCGCAAAATCAGGGGACCTTCATTTTCAATTGACGTGCCTCGGAAGGAGAAAACTTGAGATGAAAGTAATAAACCAGTCTCTCCAGGTGTCATTTCAACCTTAAACCTATAAAGGGCTTGGCCAGCAGAAGGTCTAACATCCTCCGGGACCCTTCCATATCTCAGCTTGTCTCCTTGTTGGATTTTCCAAGCAACGATCTCCCCATTGTAGAATGGTCTCAACGGGTGAAGCTGTACTTGTACTGCATCTTGTGGCATTATCTCTTGGCCGACAGAACTATCAGCTGTGCCGGTGTTCGTAAGAGAATAAGAGCATAGTCTCAGGCAAGCAGCAATTTCAGTTTCAGATCCCTCAGGACATGAAAATAAAGATCCAACAGGCAGGGAAATTGGAAAGCCTAAAACCTCGCTCACCACTGTTGCCATGACATCCAGGAAAGGAATGTATCCAGGCGGTTCAGAAACTAGGATAGACGTTCTCTGACGATTGATAAAATACATTGTTCGATGACGTGATTCATTCTCCCATTCGGGAATCATTGACTCCTTAGACACGAGGGTGACGTCTATGGAATTTGGCAGGAGAAGAAATCGAGTATATATATTTCTGACAAAACAAATTTTCTCTGCCAGGGATTGAAGAGAATGTTGCACAGCCTCAAAAGATAAGCTATCCACGGCGGTGATTTGATGGCTCACAGTCCATAAAGCAGCTTGAAACGACTCGCTCTTCAACTTCCTCCTGATAACGTTGAGTGATATAGACCCTATGTTGTCTAAGTTTTGAATATGTTCAGCGTTTTCAAGTTCCTAGATAAAAAGGCAAGTACATTGAGATTGTTTCAACACATAACAAAACAAATATAAGAAAAAGAAAAATATGATAAAAAGAAACTGATTCCATGCATACCTCAATAACCACATCAGAAAGCTTTCTCACACCCAAATCTAGACAGATCCTCTCCGGAAGACGTGGGTGAACAAGTCTTAACCTTGCGGTGTCTATGTGTTTCACATAGCGTGACCCAAAAGAATCAACATACACACAAGATCGTGCATGAACAAGCCTGCTGCCATCATCTGGGACAATCACATCTGATTTCACAGTGGAAGCATCAGGTGTATTTGTGGTATTTATGTCATTGCAGAGAAAATGAAGAATTTCCATCACAGCGCGAAGCTCATTGGGGTTCAAACGCCGATAACCACATACTTTTTGTAATTTGGAGAGGATATCATTTGCAGCACCAACTGAAAGCACATCGTTAAGTCCTAATTCTTTGAGGATCTTCAGAAAAGGTAGGTAGAGACTAGGAAGTTCAAATGCAAAAGGTGATAGGTTAATTGGTAGGCGAACAAAAAGGGAGCTTGCTCCCACCAAACGTGTCCCATTTGCAGCTGGTAAAAAAGCTACCTTTTGCAACTCCAAAATATCTGGATGATAGAAATTACAAAGCCGGGTAAAAAATTCAATCAGTGATTTCAACATAATAATATACCTTTTACTGCAGTCCTATTATCACAAATATCCAAATATTTCTATGCATCAGCAAACATAAATCCATTTTATCCTGTTTTTGGTATTTCACAGTGATATACGTTGTTGTCGTCCAGAGCAATTCATTGTTATAGCTTGCAAGGCTGGACAGAAACTATAGAGAACTATGTTTACTATTACTACTGTATTTGTTCACACCAACTATTGGTTTAAAAGGTTCTATGTTCTTTCCAGACATTTTGAATTAAATTGAAGTTCGTCAGCCAGATTATGATTTTACAGCTGCTAAAGCTTGAATGTCAATTACACATTTCTACTCAGTAATGTAAATCGAGTGTTAAGTACTATACATACCTGAAGAAGTGAGAGATCCCCATACCATTTCCAGGTATTTCAAAACTTCACAAGAAGCAACATCAATGGTCATCACATTTGGATCATTGGGCCAGTGAGCAAGAGTATCTTCACCACCATTCCGTCCAATTACCTGGGAGTATTTAGTCAGGCCTCGTTCTTCATATGTCCGTCACAAGAGTACACAGATAATCAAAGAGAGAAGACAAGTGATCTTACCTGTAAGTGTTTAAGAACAGTCGAGAAAATCGGAGGACTTCTTAGGCGAAATGCTGTCCATGAAAATTCAGGTGGAATGAATCTCTGAATTGAAAGAATAGGAACAGAGCTCCAAGCAAGGGGCCAATCCCGTAAAAGAACAGCTTCGCTGTAACATGTAAGGACTCTCTTGCCACCTTTTCTGCCACCAAGACTTGGGAACCCTGATTCAGCAGGTACGCAAGCAATCTGACCAAGAGTGTTGCAGAACGCAGTGCTGTAAAAACCAGCAAAGTTTAAAAATACAGCTTCAAGTACAGATCCTGCTAATGTTGATAACTCAGCAGAAATATCCTTCTCAGAAGGTACAAGATCCGTTTCAAAATCATCTTCTTCGGAAGATCTATGGTGCTCGTTACCCAGAAATTCCACCCTTTTGGCACATTCAAGTATGACATCGGCTTCCGCTGCAGTTCGAAGGCCAGCTTTCCGTAGAATGCGAAGCCAGCCTTCGGATGAAAATCTTTCTCCAGGAAATCGTTTTCTTTCACCAAAAAATACCGACACTAGTAATGTATCAGAAGGATCAAATAAGTCCTTTGGTTTAGACAGCTCAGAGGAAAATTCATCAGAATTTCTGACAAATTTAGCCTCCCTAAGAGCTTCAATCACAGTAGCATCGGCCTCTAAATCTAGCCAATTTCCATATACATAAATTAGTATGTCTTCTTGTTCAGATTGAGATCTACTTTCAAACCCAGCTAACCCAAACCTTACTAAAGTCTGATGATTATGCAACACAGTGACCCCAAGGGCTTGGAGAAAGTGACATTCAACTGAATCCGGGAAATAGCAAAAGCAACACTCATCATATGGTTTAAGGAAGGAATCTCCAGAGATTAAACACAAACCATGCCTTTGCAAATGCGTATAAGACCCAGTGACAGTCTTAAATATAGGAAGTGAGCTTAGTACTTCACGTTCATATGCTTGATATCTTGAACCACTAGAAGAGAAATCATTAGCCAAAAGGGTTAAAAGCTCATCACGGCCACCTGTTGGGAAGGAAGCGATATCAGCAATGTAGCCAGCTCGTTTGCTTTCAGCAAGCTTGGAGGCTATAGCTTGGCCAAGTGACACGCCAGGTGAAGGCAGACACTTGCATCTCTCAGCACAATCAATATATGCAGCATCACAAACAGGTATATTGCACTGGTTCAGCAGTAAAATCAGCCAAGGATGGTGGCTCTGTGCTAGGTCGAAGCCTGAAACATAGTGCTGTATTAACTCAGATAAGGAACCGTCACTTACTGATGTTGTGGATATATAACTGTCTCTCTCATGCATATCAGAATCACTTCCAGAGATTGGCTGCAAAGGCGGTGGTGGAAAAAAGATTAAGTGTCTCTCCCTTACACGGCATAAAATTGATCTGCCAAGGAAGGCAGGAATCAGAGGCCAGTCCGAAAAGAGGGAGAGCTCATCTGCTGATCCATTAAAATTCTTCCAAAAGAGCTGTATCCATTCAGGCGAAGGACCACTTTCATCACTAGAACTGGATGTACTTTCCCATGAAAACCATGGCACAGAATTTGATTCTGAGATATGACTTACCCAGTGGTCATGAAAAAGATATTTCATATTACTGGCCAGTAGAGGAAGAGACCAGTTTTTCAACTTTAAAAATGCTTGAACAGAAGGCTTCAAAAATATATCAGCCAAGCTCGATCTGTCAAACACTTTTGGATGGATAAATCGTGCAGACACAGGCAACATCAGTGCCTGTTGTTCCTTGTTTCCCAACCATAGCTCAGAAGTACCCAAGCGT